AACATGTGTACAACAGGACATGATAGTGAGAGATATTCAAACACTCTTCTCAGGTGTCTCAGGCCAACAGGACATGATAGTGAGAGGTATTCAAACACTTCTCAGGTGTGTCTCAGGCCAACAGGACATGATAGTGAGAGGTACTCAAACACCCTTCTCAGGTGTGTCTCAGGCCAACAGGACATGATAGTGAGAGGTAATCAAACACCCTTCTCAGGTGTGTCTCAGGCCAACAGGACATGATGGTGAGAGGTACTCATACACCCTTCTCAGGTGTGTCTCAGGCCAACAGGACATGATAGTGAGAGGTACTCAAACACCCTTCTCAGGTGTGTCTCAGGCCAACAGGATATGATAGTGAGAGGTACTCAAACACCCTTCTCAGGTGTGTCTAAGGCCAACAGGACATGATAGTGAGAGGCCCCAAACACCCTTTTCTAGGGGTGTATGTTCCCAGGCCAACAAGACATGATAGTGAGAGGTATTCAAACACCCTTCTAGGTGTGTGTCTCAGGCCAACAAGATGATAGCAGAGGGGTAGTCAAACCTCTCAGGTGTGTGTCTCTAGGCCAACAGGACATGATAGTGAGAGGTACTAAACCCTCTCATGTGTGTCTCTAGGCCAACAAGACATGAGATAGTGAGAGGCAGTATTCAAACAACCTTTCTTAGGTGTGTCTACAGCCAACAGGACATGATAGTGAGAGGTATTCAAACACTCTTCTCAGGTGTGTCTCAGGCCAACAGGACATGATAGTGAGAGGTATTCAAACACTCTTCTCAGGTGTGTCTGAGGCCAACAGGACATGATAGTGAGAGGTACTCAAACCCTTCTCAGGTGTGTCTCAGGCCAACAGGACATGATAGTGAGAAGTACTCAAACACTCTTCTCTTGTGTGTCTCAGGCCAACAGGACATGATAGTGAAAGGTACTCAAACACCCTTCTCAGGTGTGTCTCAGGCCAACAGGACATGATAGTGAGAGGTACTCAAAACACCCTTCTCAGCTGTGTCTCAGGCCAACAGGACATGATAGTGAGAGGTACTCAAATACCCTTGTGAGGTGTGTCTCAGACCAACAGGACATGATAGTGAGAGGTACTCAAACACCCTTCTCAGGTGGGTCTCAGGCCAACAGGACATGATAGTGAGAGGTATTCAAACACTCTTCTCAGGTGTGTCTCAGGCCAACAGGACATGATAGTGAGAGGTACTCAAACACCCTTCTGAGGTGTGTCTCAGACCAACAGGACATGATAGTGAGAGGTACTCAAATACCCTTGTGAGGAGTGTCTCAGGCCAACAGGACATGATAGTGAGAGGTACTCAAACACCCTTCTCAGGTGGGTCTCAGGCCAACAGGACATGATAGTGAGAGGTTTTCAAACACTCTTCTCAGGTGTGTCTCAGGCCAACAGGACATGATAGTGAGAGGTATTCAAACACTCTTCTCAGGTGTGTGTCTCCCAGGCCAACAGGATGATAGTGAGAGGGAAGCCAACACCTTTTCAGGTGTGTCCAGGCCAACTGGACATGATAGTGAGAAGTAGTCAACACCCTTCTCAGGTGCGTCTCTCAGGGCCAACAGGACATGACACAGCGAGAGGTAGTCAAAGACCCTTTCTCAGGTGTAAGGCCCCAGGCCAACAGGACATGATAGTGAGAGGTAGTCAAACACCTTTCCTTGTGTGTCTTCAGGGCCAACAGGACATGATGTGAGAGGTAGTCAAACACCCTTCTCAGGTGTGTCTCAGGCCAACAGGACATGATAGTGAGAGGTAGTCAAACACTCTTCTCAGGTGTGTCTCAGGCCAACAGGACATGATAGTGAGAGGTACTCATCATTCAAGATGGACTTGATAATGATATAATTGGTAGTTGATTATTATTTACTTTTTATATTATACTTAGTTATTGTTTAATAATTGTTGCTGAATAATTATGTAGTTTTAGACTAATAGTTACCGTTAATAATATTATGAATAGTTAAAATAGCGAGTTTATTATGGTGTCGTAAGCTTATATATAGTGTTTTATATTAATAAAATATTAATAAATAATCTTAAAATAGTTAAACAATAAATGTTATTGTTTAAATAGTTAAATAATAAAAGTTATTGTTTAAATTTATTTTAGTGTATTTGTAAATGTTGTCAAGCTATTCGGTTCTCCAGCTATTGACTTAAGTTTAGTTAATATTAATATATATCTATTAGCGGGAGTTTATCAATAATAAAACCTTATGATTAAAGTATAATTTATTTATATTATGTAAAATGTATAAATAAAATACTTTATTATAGTGTTAATAATGAAAACTTGTAGTTACTGAAAGATAAGAGAGAGAATCGGACAAGGTGTAGCGTGTCAACATCAACCAAGGTGGACGTCTTGTTTATTGTTGTTAATTTTGTTAGTAAATGTTAATTTGTGGGCCTTCCTCCCTCCCTCGTGGTAAGTTAACATTATGTATGGCCGTGTTAACTAGACACAGTACAGTAGAACATAAGAATGGAGGAAACTACAGCGGGCCATACTGGGCAGTCCACCCAGCCCCTATTGCTCATATAAACATCCAACCTATGGTTGAAGCTATCCAGCCATCTCTGTGGTTGTCGGTCACACTGGTTGAACTAGGCCCATCTGGGACCAACTAGGCCCACCTGGGACCAACTAGGCCCATCTGGGACCAACTAGGCCCATCTGGGACCAACTAGACCCATCTGGGACCAGCTAGGCCCATCTGGGACCAACTAGGTCCATTTGGGACCAACTAGGCCCATCTGGGACCAACTAGGCCCACCTGGGACCAACTAGGCCCATCTGGGACCAGCTAGGCCCATCTGGGACCAACTAGGCCCATCTGGGACCAACTAGGCCCATCTGGGACCAACTAGGCCCATCTGGGACCAACTAGGCCCATCTGGGACCAACTAGACCCATCTGGGACCAACTAGGCCCATCTGAGACCAACTAGGCCCATCTGGGACCAACTAGGTCCATCTGGGACCAACTAGGCCCATCTGGGACTAACTAGGCCCATCTGGGACCAACTAGGTATAGTGCAGGTGTGTGGTGTAGGTTTTCGGTGCAGGCATATAGTGTTTTTATGGTGCAGGTGTGTGGTGTAGGTATATGGTGCAGGTATATTGTGTGTTTATGGTGCAGGTGTGTGGTGTAGGTATATGGTGCAGGTATATAGTGTTTTTATGGTGCAGGTGTGTGGTGTAGGTATATGGTGCAGGTATATAGTGTGTTTATGGTGCAGGTATAGTGTGTGTTTGTGGTGCAGGTATAGTGTGTGTTTGTGGTGCAGGTATATAGTGTGTTTATGGTGCAGGTGTGTGGTGTAGGTATTAATTAACAGGTAGGCGGTGAAGGCAAGTGGACCAATAACTGCTGCTGCTTATTAATGTAAACTACTGGAGGAAATTGTCAATGGAACAATGTTAAGGAAATAGTTTGATAGTTTGAGGTATTGTATTACTTTCCTGTTGAGTATTTGTTACTTTTATGTTTGGTAAGTTTTGTTACTTGTGGAGTTTGTGACTTTTTCTTTTGTTAAGTTTTGTTACTTGTGGAGTTTGTTACTTTTTCCTTTGATAAGTTTTGTTACTTGTGGAGTTTGTTACTTTTACGTTTGATAAGTCTTGTTACATGTGGAGTTTATGTCACTTTACGTTTTGGAATTGTTACTTTTCAGTAGTTTTTTACTTTTAGGATAATTTTTTGATAATTTTGTCAAGTTACTTTTGTTATATTATAGTGGTCACTGTTTGTGGTAATGTTAGTAAATGGATGTTTTTTAAATAAACGCTACTTAACATTTGTGGTTATGAAGGACAGACCTAACCAAACAAACCTACCTAACCTAACTTCCCCGGTATATTAAACAGAAAAAACTTACTATACGGTGATATTTGAGACATTTTCTGGACGTGAGATGATACAGCAGCATCGGCACTATGGCGGGTTAGTCCTATATATTAACCAAGGTGGGATTTTGGGTCATATTTATTTTGGGAAAGATTTTTTTCTTTAATTGAAGTAAAAAAATTTGGTTATAAGAATGTGGTACTTTTTATTTGTGGTTAAATTACAGTTTGTAGTAAAATATTAGCTTTTGAGACATTTTGGGAACTTTACTGTAAAGTTGCAGTTTATTTTTTGACAAGAAATTTACATTTTTGTCACTGTATTTGGTGGGATCCTAACCTAGCCAAATCGTGTGTCCGATGGTGAGGTTTTAATTCTCGGGGAAAATAACAATTTG